ATGTGAGAGCAAGTCGCTCCCATGTTTCTCCTTTATTTCTACTTCTTTTTCCTACTCACATAAAATATTTTTCAACCTTAAAAACTACAGCCTATAGGGGTAAAACTATAACAGTGTGAAAAAAAAATCTATATATTTATCCATTTAGGATTTCCCCTGGGGGGTGTTGGAATACCGTTTGACACCATAAACCTCTTTATGGTTTGTTCACTTGGTGTGGAGTGGGTGAGAAGAAAAGAGCCAGTCCCTTTGGCAGTGTTCTCCCCCATCTATACCCATTATGTGAATGGAAAGAACCCAAAACCTTCACTTTCAGAACTGTATCTCAGCCTCTGGCTCCTGGAGGAAGCCAGTGTGGTTCCGATGTGGGCTGGGAAAAGTGGTTTGCATTGGCATCTGCTTTGCGGGTGCCTGGGTGCTGGAGCACTCTGCTGTGGGTTACAGATGCTTGCTCTCCAGTGCTAATGTGGCCAACATGTGAAACCATGGCACCCGCAATGCTGCACAGAGGTCCACGCCTCTGATAGTCTGAGAAGTAACTCCCAGCTGAAGGAGTTCTTCCTTGAGGACTGGAGTACATTCCGGAGCAGAAGGTCCTCCGAGGGGTGGAACCAGTGACGAGATGCCTGCTGTCCTTAGACCTGGTCTGTGTCACAGGTGTCTGTAGGTTTGGGAGCTTTAACCAAAAGGAGAGCGAAGTGAAGCAAAGCAAAACAAGTTCCTCTATATCTTAGGTTCATGAATTCCAAATCCCATGCTGTGCATGTAGCAGAGAGCTTGGACCTGCGAGTCATTCTGCGACTATTAGTGGCACTTGTTACCTGGCCCACTTGAGGGTGTCTTAGAAATGTCTCCATCATTCTTTATTTCCCTGGCTCTCTGTAAGGATGGTAGAACCAGAGGAAACTATACACTAGAGAAAGGATGTGCACATGGGGTTGGGTGGCACTTTCCGAGTTCAGTAACCAGGACTCTTCAGGGCACGAGGGATTTTTGCCCATTCTCTCTCCTGAGGCTTCTGCTTCCTTGTAACAGTGTTCTTGAGAGAACTGGGATATTTCTATCCCCCATCCAGTTAGTGAGGCAGTTTTCTCATTCAGATACAATTTCCAGTGAAATAGTAGCTTATAAGAATCCAGAAGTTAGTTTATTGACTCTTATTGCACTTCTGAGTACCTACTAAATAATTTATTAGTCTGATGGATATGTGGCTACCTAACTATGGGGCATGAAATATGCACTGTTTTTCTAATACACTGTAGGGAGACCTGTTTATAAAGTATTTAGTATTGGTTTTATAATGCACTGTTGACAACAGGAGACCACGAAGCTCAAAGATCAATCTCATTTTGGCCCACAGTATTAATGCTGCTTTATAAAGCTCTGTGACAGGTCACTTAGAAGGTGGTCCTTACAGAAAGGGCTCTGTTAGGAAGACAGGCTGCAGCACTGCCATCACAGCAGATGAGTGTCTTCACCAGTGTCCCTGAGGTGACTCTGGCAGCTGCTGCTTTTGGCCAGGTGATAGAACCCATTATTTCCATGTTCTCTAAACGGGTTCTGGAGTAAAATGCAGAGTTCTGCTAATGCGGCTCTTGCTAACTGGGCAGAGTTTGTGTAACTTTGGATCGAAGTTGCAGTCCTGGGGTTGGGATCAGGCAGTAAGGAGAGGAGCTTGACTCTCCTCAGCTGAGTCTTGGGTTAGTGAAGTGATTCTCTTCCCCATCTCCTGTTCCTTCACTGAAATCTCCTATGTGACACAGTATAAAGTGTTTTTGATTTTTGTTTGCTTTGGCTAATTTCCTTAGCCAGAAATAAATTTACAGACATTTAGAGACTCTGTATAGTAAACACTTAGAATTGTGGTATGTCTAAATAAAAAACAATTTAATCCAAAATCAGTTCTCAGCTTTTAAATTTCTTAATAAGCACTACTTGCTATGAAAATGCTGTGTAATTTTTTTTTTTTTTTTTTTTTTTGGTACCAGGGATTGAACTTGGGTCCTTGCCCTTGCACAGCAGGCGGCAAAACCACTGAGCTAAATCCCCGGCCCCAGTGCTGTGTAATTTTTACAGTACACTGCTGCCTCTTAAGAGTGTGTGTTTTGGAGTGGGGCATTTTTCTCTTTGCATTCAGAACTCCATAATTGTTCTGAGCCTTCTACCTCCTAAACTGAGAATTACTCTGCCTTGAATCCATTCAACTTGGTTATGACTTCCTGTGCTTTTTGGGGAATCATGACTGAGTTATTTCTGCTACTCAGCTTTTTTTTAAAAAAAAAAATTCATTTCTCATCGATCCTGAGTGTCATCTCATCCTCTGTGCGTGGACCAACCCTTTTCCCCCAGATAGTCCTTGATTTCACCCTATCATATCTCCCTTAGCAGAGAGCCTCATCTTTTCTTTTCTGAGATGATTATTTCTCTTGTACAACAACCATTTATTGAGCATGTATTCTGTCCTTCAGGTCACCAAAGATAAGTGAGCTCTCTCTAATTTAGCAAGTATACAGTTTTGGTGAGGGGAGATGGGTACTAAGCTGGCCTTCTTACAGGAGTGTTCTTCATATATGTATTTCTTTCTTTTTTTTGGTACCAGGGATTGAACTCAGGACCTTGTACTTGTAAGGCAGGCATGGTGCCACTGAGCTGCATTCCCAGACCCATATATGTATTTCTTAACCACAGAATTTTAAAATACATTTTACCTTTGGTTTCTGAGGGAAAAAAATCTATTTTTATCCCTTCAGAGCCACCTTTTCATTCATGGTTCTTGACCATTTTCTCTTCTGGTACCCTTTTATATCATTTTCCCTCTGACTTGGGTCTTCAGTATTCTTTTCTCTCCTAGCTTCTCCCACTTTACCTCTGTGAGACTTGTTTTTCATGTAGTGAAAAATTTTTAGTTCATTCGTAAAACTTCTCCTAGGTCCTGCTAACCTCGTAAGCCACCTTTCTTGTACTTTTGTTGCACAGTTTTTCCATGGTGTACTTTATCTTTTCTGCCTCTTTGTCTTTACAAATTGCGAACTTGGAATATGTATTCTATAGACCTATCAGTCTAATATAAGCTAACTGCTGTCCTACAAAATATATTTCTACAATATTTCTGTCACAAATATACCCATTTACCCAAACTTAAGAACTAATACTACAAACACATGTGAAATGCTGCAGGTTATCACTCAGTTTGTATGGTACCAGTCACTGCCGAGCCTCCCTATCTAGCTCTTCTTCTCCACGTTCCCCATGCAGTCTTCTGAATTTGGTATTTATCAGTCTCATGCATTTTGTCTTGTTTTTACCGTATTTACCTCTCTTCATTACTACATTTGGTTTCATTATGCCCTAAATAGAGCATTGTTTATTAGAACCTTTGAAACTCTTGACCAACCTACCTCCTGTAAACTTTCTCTTTCCCTGTCATTCAGAATGTTACTTGATATCCCTCTTAACTGCTCCCTCTGTCTTCTCCCTCAGTCACTCTAAGATGTGAACCCTGACTCTGTCCTCTACAACTTACACCCTGCCTGTGTAGACGGCTCCTACATCTGATGACTCAAGTGTTGGTCTGTTTAGTGAACATTTCTAGTTGATTAGTCAACTGTATTATCTGCTGTTGCCCAAAGTGGGGTTGGTATATCTTCCTTCAAACCAGTTGGTCCCCATTTATATTGAGAGTATTACCATTTCCATTGCTCAGAATATCAGAATTTTGGTGTATTCGTTGACTCTTTTCATTTTTATCCACAACTTATGAGTCGCTCTTAGCCCCTTGATTTTATCTTCACAATACATTTTTTAACTCACTCTTTTTTTCCCATTCCTATTGCTAGCAGTCATTTACCTAGTGTATTATGATAGCCTCCCAGTTGATCTCTTCACATCTTTCTTCTCACATTCCAGTTTGTGTGTCCTCCTGTTGCCGGATAAACCTACTTACAGTAATGATCATGCCATATTACTGAGAAACTTCCAGGCCTTTTGAGTGTTGGTGGATTACAGAATAAATGGGAACTCTTTACAGTGGAGTATAGACACCTTGCTATTATGATAGTTCCTAGTGACCATCCATAGTCATTATTGCTACACATCCTGCCTTAGTTCTGGTCAAACTGAATCACTTCTCTAGGAATGTTACCAGTTCTTTAGTGCCCAGACCAAAATCTGCTTAAAAGCTTTCTTTTACCACAATGGCTGCAAGGAATCTTTTTCTCATTCAGATAGGATCCCATGACTGTTTCTCTTACCATGTTATATTTTTATAGACGGTCATTTTATGCATGGTTTATCTTCTGTACTAGATTATAAACTTCATGTAAGTGAGGATTGTGCCTTAACTTTTGTGTTCCTACAGTTTTTTGTACCTGGCAAGTAAGGCCTTGATACATATTCCCTAACAGTGCCTAAAAGTGTTTAAGGTGACTGTATAATAAGTAGGAGTGAATAAGAAATTGTCCTGGGGGTGGAGTGCAGCATATAGGAGGTCCTGGGCTCACCCCCCACCCCACCCCACCAAAGAACTGAATTGCGTGGGATTGTTGTGGAGCTTATTAGTAGGGCCCTTGCCTAGCACGCATGAGGCCTTGAGTTTGATCCTCAACACCATGGGGAGAAGAGGAGAGGAGATAGGGCAGAGCAGGTTAGAGCAAAAATGTATCTGTCACCAATCAACAAATTACTCAGTTATTCCTGCTTGTTACTCTTGTTCTCCCCAGAGTTAATTTCTTTAACTCTTGGCTGCTATCAGCCTTACCAACCATTAACTCTTAAAGTGTTTCGGGGGCAGGGATTTAGTTCAGTGGCACAGTGCCTGCCTGGCAAGTGCAGGTCCCGAGTTTGATTCCTGGCACCAAAAATTAAAATAGTGTGGGGTGGTCAGAGGAGTACGTTACATCTGCATGTTTTAAAGATTTTTGCAGTTGCCCTTATATATTCAGTGCTTTTAAGTAATACTGTTTGCAGATTATATATAATTTTTTCTCCTGATCTCTCCACAGGCACGATTTGTGCCCACTTCACCTCCAGATTGCCTTAATTTCACATCAGAAGGCAGGCTTAGTGAACAGGACTGGCAAGCACATTTCAAGGCACCATGTGGAGTTGATCCATCTCAGCTTGTTGAGGTATGTTGTTCTTTTCCATTTAAATTCCTTGGATATGCTCGTATGCTTTACTGCCTAGTTACAGGTGTGTCTCACCTAATTATTTTTTTCCCCACATTTTTTTTTTTTATATATACCAGAGATTGAACTCAGGACCTTGCACTTGCGAGGCAGGCACGGTGCCACTGACCTGAATGCCCTGCCCTCCCCACACTGTTACTCTTTCATAGTCATCCTCATGCTGTGAAACTCATATTTACTTGCTTTCTAACACTTCTTGTCTCTGATGAAATTGTTGGAAGCAGTAGATTTAGTGGCAGTTATTTGAATGATTTTGATAGTGATAAACTGTTTTCCTTCTTTTGTTTTTTCCTGTATTTTTCCTTTCCATTATTTTTTCCCCCACATAGTTCTAAGACCCATTTATTGTTGTCAGTATTTTTAGTGGTAGAACCATTGATAGTAGCAGACTTTTAGCACTGAAGTGTAACATACTTAAAGAGAAGTGCACACATTTTAAATATATAGACATAGGACTGGGGATTTAGCTCAATGGTTCTAGTGCCTGCCTTGCAAGTGCAGGGACCCGAGTTCGATCCCTGGTACCAAAAAAAAAATATAGAGAGACATAATGTATTTTTACAAAGTAGCATATCCAGGACCAACGACTCAGTGGAGATGAGCAGCTTTGCCTGTGCTCAGAAGTCTCCTTTATTCCTTGCCAACCACTGCCCTCCACAAATCACCATTCTGACCTCCTAAGCCACCTCTTAATTCTTCCTCATTTTAACTTGCTGTTCAGTGAGTTGCTGGCATCTTCTTGATTCCTTAATTTTGAAAACAATCCTCAAGTTCATTCAAATTTGCTTTGTTTGAACATTTTTCCATTTATGTGTGTATACAAAATAGTCTTTGGTGTTATAATGTTTTCAAACTTACAAGTATACTGGCATTTCATTTTGTAAATTTATCTTTTAAGTTTGTGAATTGTATATAATGGAGCTTTATGGGCTTCCTTTTGTCTGTGATAACTTTAAAAGCAGTGTTGTATTTTTAAATACTTTTGTAAGGTGTTAAGCTCTACTCTGCAACCTGATTTTCTTGGGTGTTCATGAATCTCAGTCTCCCTTCCAGATAGGAATTGAAACTATTATTATGACATTTTTGCTGAAACTGCAGGCTTCTCAGTCCACAGGCTCCAGAAGGAAGTGAATAAAATAATTAATATTATCTTTTTAGTACTGCAACTAAGTAATTCCCATTGCATCCCATCTCCCAACAACAGCCCCCCCCCCCCTTTAAAGAAAGACATCACTGATTATTTTTGTCCAGAAGATTTTCTTATAAACTATTGAATGTGGGTTATGGTAGAAAGTAGCCACTGTTGATGCTGGTATTTAGAAAAGATTAAAGTCACTTTTCTGTTTTTAAACCTAAACAAGATACGTAAAATGTTCTATCTTTTGTGGCCAAAAGATTCATGTTGACTACAGATGCATTTGTATATGGGAGTCTTTATTTCAAGGATTCATCATTAACCTAATATTCTATAAACTACCTTATCTATCACACCCTATTCAGATCTTTCTATTGTCTTATTTTTATAGTATTTTAAAGGATTATGGGATTTAGATATTTTCTTGAAATGTTACTATGAAACTGAGCTGCATCACAGATTGTTCTTGTTGGCACAGAGACAGTGTCAATTGGAGCAGTTTCTTCCTTTTGCTGTAGAAGAGTTGTGAAGCTTTTAGTCATATTTACTTATGGAAATGCCCATGCCACTGTTTAAAGTGATTTAAACCTAAGTCTCATTCAAGCTTTATGTTAGGAGGCCTGTATTCCCCTGAATTCCCATGAAATGACATTTTTGTTTTATTTTGTCTTGTTTTTTGCAATACTGGGAATGGAACATAGGGGCTTATGGATGCTAGGAAAGTGCTTTATCACTAAGCTACCTCCCAGCCTTTTTTGAAGTTGCCCAGGCTGGTCTTGAACTTGAGATTTTCCTGCTTCAGTCCTTAGAATAGCTTGCATTACAGCTGTGCATCACCATGCCCAGCCTAGGCTGATGTTGCAAGTGCATAAGCTGTTTCTCTTGGCGTAGGTGACTTGGGGAGAGGGTAGTAGCAGTTGCCATTACTTTTGGTCATGTTCACTGATGTGATATTCCAATGAGTAAATACTAGCGCATTTAGGATTCACAGTACTTTGGCAGAAAACCAACCAAAAACTGAAGGCAGGCCTGCATGTCTTATTGACAACTTGGACCAAGATCTTGTCCCCTGAAATCTTCGGGCTTTTCTGGCCAAGGCTTCTATATGTTGAAATGCCCGGCCCAAGCTGCCAGAGCCATTTGGCAAAGTCGTAGTCATAAGTATGAACTAACATGTACAATTCTAACACAGACCCATACAAAAGTAACAAGCAGTAAGACTGGCAATCAGAGTAAAAACCATTTTTGCTTCGCTCATTGGAGTCCATAAAGTTCCTTCTTAAGTGCAGTGTGAATTAGTCCACCCATGAACTGTTAAGCAAAATTTATGTCCTAAGTTTCCAGAAGAGTAAGTCTTCAAAGAGGAAAATTTAAAGTTGAATATAGTTACATAGTTCTTTCATATACAGGCATAGGTAGATTCAGTAGTTGGCATGCATGCAGTCTTGCTATGTTCAGGTTTGGCTCTAATAAATTGAAACATGAAGGAGAATTGTTTAAATAAGTAAAGTTTTCTAGTTTTCTTAAAATTTAAATGCAGGGATACAACTAGTACTCCTCAAGTTTTCACAGTCATCAGATATCACTGCTCAGGAATACTTGGCTATTAAAAGATGGGCGTTTTATCCCTTACATGGACGATAATGGAAAGGAATCAGGAACCCGTTGGAGAACAGGGACTTAGGTATAAATGTTAGGTGAATTTCAGTTATGAAGATGAGGACTTTTATGAGTAAAGATGACAGTTCATGTAAGACTTGTATTTTAAGAGCTGCTCTGTAATCTCCCCTACTTCCTTTTCCCCAAAGCATGCAGGTATAGTAGAGTAATATTTCCTCCCTCTTCCTCCCCCCCACAAAGGTTGATAAATGTTTTACTGTCCTCTCATCATATTACATCTGTGAGTCAAGGAGAAGCAAGCAGTTTAGATTATGATACAATTATTCACAAAGGGAACACCTGAATTTGAATTATTGACCTGAATTTGAATTGTTGTTAGTTTTACTTTTTTCCATTCTTTATAGTGAGTCAAAAATGTTCCCCATAACTTCACATAGAAAATAAAACTTTATACAATAAAGTAGGAATGGGAGGTTTCACAAAGGAAAAAGGTTGCTGTCAACTTTCTCCTCAGGAATATGGAAATTTGGGCAGATTATCTGTTCAGAAGAGGTTTCCTTCATTAATTCTTTCTCCTTTTTTCTCTTAAGACATCTGTTAACATTTCACATAGTCCAGCAGATGTTGCAAAGCAAGTCCCGTACTTTGTTCTCAGGAAAATGACATTTCCTCCATTGGTTGCCCCACCTCTGTGACTGAGTCCAGCCTGCTACTGTTGTATAATTTGCATAGATTTAGTTATACACCTTAGCGCATTATGAATTTGAGCTTCAACATTATTTTATATGGTAAAGTCTGATTTGATTAGAAATTAGCTTACATTTGCTGTACAGTTGAGAGTAGAAAACATTATTAAAATTTCTCTTGAGAATTGCAGTTTGATTCTCCATATAAGATTGGATAGTCTTGTTAATATTTTTTCTGTAAAATAAGTGAATTACAAAGGCTTGAGTTGTTTCACCATGAGGAAGTGCTGATTGTCATGCGATGTGGAGCGTCATTTTTATTATTTTGGCAAGAACAGGGACAGTTTTGTCTTGACAAGCCGTTAGACGAATACCAGCATGTGTCACATGAAAAACCACTGATCTTTAACCCAGCTCTGTACTTAACCAAGCCTTGAAAATGAATAGTGAATAAAAGAAGAGCAAAGGCCAGTTTACTGTCATTACAGATTACAGAATCTGTTAACAGCTGCTGAACTGAACCTGGGGAATTACAGGTATTGTTCTGTAAACCAGCAGAAGTCTAGAGATGCCTCTTAAATTGTGTACAGAAACTATACATTTATTTTATATTTGCTCAGGATTTATATTGCTGGAAAGAAAGCTAGAAAAAATTGAAACCCTGAGTACTTTCTCAGGACAGTGCATGTATGACTTTATCACAAAACCATATGTATTTACATAGAACTTTGTCAATGAAATTTTTTCTGCTCCTAGTTACAATGAATTTTTGAAAAAATTAAGAGAAAAAGAAAATCTGTGCAATATTTCCCTCTTTAAACAATAACAACAATGACAAAACAAAACCTATCCCACAATCATATATCCAAAATCCTCTCACTTCCTTCTTCAGGTATAAATTATCTGATTTTTTACATCAATATGTGATTTTTCTTTTAGCAAATGGAAAACCCTAAGCCTACCTCAGTACCCAGCATTGAAAATACCAGTTACATTTTAAACAGTCAGTTGTGGGAATTCCTGCTTACAGAGCCAACGAGAAAGAGCATACTTCTTACTCTGCTGATGGAATTGCACCGAGCCTCCCCGTAGTCTTGTTAGCCCATACTAACTGAAATGCAAATTCTTTGTAACTAATTGGATCTCATTGAAGGTACAGGCACAGTGTGTAGTTACATGCAAAAAGCTTCTTAAAAAGTAAAATTTTCCTGTAATTATAACTTTTAATCACTACCTGGAACATTAGTATCTGTAGTACACATTTAGCATGTATGTGTCTGAATTTCTAAACAGAGTGCTCAAAAGCATGGCTTACCAAATGCTCAATAAGATGCCAGCTCAAAAGTTACAGGACAGATGTTCAAGTGCAGCAATCTATAAATTGGATTTTATTAAAGTCCTGTGAAAATAATGTTGTTTTTTTAATTTAGGATTTAGTATCCTAGAATCAGTATACGGTACTGAAGGCTTGTTAATAGTGCAGTTCTTTTCTTGGAAGATTTAAAATATTAAAACATCAAATACATCAAAAATCACTTCCAAAAGCCATTACTTATTTTTTCCCTTCAATTCTCCAATCCACTGTACCATTGTAAAACACATTTGAGTTTCTTACATGGTATGAGTCTGTTTTCATTGTGTGTTATGGTAAGGGGGAGATATTCACATAATATTATCTTTAACAACTTGGGTACTATTAGACATAGTTTGTATACTTCTTAATTTACATGGTCCATCTCTCACAATCAGTAAATGTAAGAATGCCAGCACATAACCTGTACTTGTGAGTATTCCAACCTGAAATACATGGATGGAATCAGGAAAGCAAGAAACAATCATTGTGGAGGCGATGCCTGTCCCTGCCACTCTAGTTTTAAATAACTTTGATACACGATTCCAGAGAGTTATTCCAGAATCTGTACAGTACATAGGTAATAGAAAAACTTAAAAGAAATATATGCATTGTAGTTATATTTTTTAGATATGTATCCTTAAAATGATTAGGTGCTCATTTGTTAGATAGAAAATTATCTCTAGGTCAAGGATTCTATACTTTGCATTACGCATGGAATTGAGTGGGAAGTTCAGATCCTGTATGTTGGGAATTTCCACAGTCAAATTTGTATTAAAATTTACTTCAAATGAGTGTTAGAAGTTTAAAATTTACAAAGCACTATGTGTATACACTTGAGGTTTTTGTTTTATCTTAATGCATTTATTTATGGTTAAGTCTTTGGGTTGTCCCTTATGTAACCCTACCCTCTTTGTAAACTAGTCTTATACACTAATTAAGATGTTTGATTAAACCCATTTAGCAGGTACAGCATATTTGTGGTGAACAAGATGTTTTAAGCCTCAGATATCAGTTGTGAAGGCATGGCTATGGTAGTGAAATCTAAGTAACAGTTCCACTGCAGATGGCTCAGATGGGCCAACCCAACTCTGCTATCTGAAGCTCAGTTTGCGTGCTCTGGGTAGCATTTTGTCAGAACTGCTGGCTGGGCAGACCAGATTTGGATGTATTAGCTAGTCAGCCTAATAACCCTGTACAGACTGTATTGATTTTCTAGGAGAGAGTTTATGAACTAAATAAACTTGGGGTTGGTGTCTTAATAAACTGCTTCTTTCAGTCTGTCACATTTAGTTACGGAGCTGTGCAGTTTAGGGGGAAAAAAGGCTAATTCTGTTACAGATTGTTCACAGCAGGGTCTCCAAATTAGCCCTTTGTTTTGTAATGCCACCTTGCTCGGGCTCGCTTTGAGCACATTTCTCAGTTTTGCCCTAATGAGTTGCAACACTGATAATGTGGCTGATGATCTTTCATTGATTTCACTATCACTTGCTTGTCTGGTAATTGATCCGTTGCTGAGCCTCTAGTTAATTATATCGGCTTTGACATGGCCTGGTCCACAGGGAATTTCAAGTCTTGCAGAATAACAGTTTTAATAAAAGAGTCTATTACTGCAGGTGCTTGCTGCTGCATGCCAGTTGATTTTTGTGTTGTGTTGTGTGTTGAAGAGAGAGAGAGAGAGAATGGGAAATACCTGGGAAAAAAGAACTGGACAGAGAGAAAAAAAGGTGGGGGCTGGAAAGAGAGGAAGAGGGAGTGAAAGAGAAGGAGGAAGGAGGGGAGAGATGGAAAGGGAAAGTGAGAGGCGAGAACATGCAGGCAAAGCGATACAATGGAGCTTGAGTGGAGGAGGAGGAAGCTTGCTATTGACAGTGTCCTTAAGCTTCCCACAAATAACAGCCATTAGTGGGAAGGTCAGAAGCTGAGCAGGCAGCTTGACTGAGGCACTGAGTGCCACTTCAGAAATCAAGAGGCTAGCAAATTTTAGAGGGAGTTTAAGTGGGTAATAGCTAGCAGTAAAGGTACAGTCACTGCTGACAATTGACTCATAGGGGTTTTTCCTGCCCTCCCCCCTGAAGAATATTTTTATTGACTACAGGTGGACTTAATATATTTTAAGGCAACAATTCTTTGGGTTCCTGTTTTCCTCTCAGATATTGAATTTGCTTCTTTTGAGACTTTTTTGTGCTTAATGGTGGTGAACTGGAGGGAAGTTTAACAGAAAAGCTTTCAGGAGAGGTCGGTTCTAGTAGGGAAGGCACATTTGTGTCAACATAGTGTACGTTTTCTCATCTTTTCTCATTGTCCACTAATGACACAGAGCTGCCACTGAAGCTCTTTTCTGTTTCTTTTGTTCTTTCAGAGAATAAGGTTTATTGTTATTCTTTAGTTAAGAAGGAGCAAGGAAAGTGGTACATTTGTCCTCAATATTTGTAGGTGGTTGAAGATTAATGTTCCTTACATTTTAAGTTTAGGAAGGATGGTTTTTTTCCTGCTGACTACTTTTATGAGATGGCATGAATTTAGCTTTCTATTTTGAAGTTAGTGTTTATGTACAGTGCATTTTGTTCACTTCTGATTTTCCATAAATAAGATAGATAAATACTATCTAATAAATAGATGTTGTGTTCTAAAACTGGTTTAATTAAAAATATGACCTGCTATTGAGGCTGTATTTCATCAGGCAGGGAAATGTTACAGAATTTTCCATAGAGATCTTGAATAAAAAACGGAGTTTTTATATTCATTACTTTTTGCCTGAAATGGGACAGGCTCTTTTTCTTCATCTTTTCTTTTATGGTTTGAAAAGATATTGTAGGTTCTTCATCTAGGAACTTTAACAAAGGATTTTGTTCTACTCTTGAGCTGTAAGGACAGGTACCCTTTTTTTTTTTTTGCCATTCAGTTTCTCATTACTTAATCTTTGGTTTAGTAATTAATAGCCTGAGGTACTAAATTGTAGTATTTATTTTGCAAATGTTTATGGCACATCTTCCATTTTAAACTGCTAGGTTTATTTATTCTTTAGAGGCTAAGGTCAAGTTTGTATGTATATTATTTTCTCTATGAGTTTTTACAGTATGTAGTTATTTTAGCCAAGCAAATACTGTATGACTTTTAGCAGCTAACATTTAGAAAACTGAGCTAACTTTATGTTCTTTTCCAGCTTAGTATTTTACTTTCTTCCAGTGTAATTTTAAAAAATTAAGTATCACAGTTTCACAAATGTTAGAGAGGCTGTTGTCTGATGTTGCAGGAGACATCAGAAAGCTCTGCTGGGGAAAACTCCCTGGAAGGGCCCTCGCTTGCCCTTGCCCCATGCAGTGGCGGAGCATTGCTGGGAGTGTGCGTGTGTCTGTGTCGAGAGGAGTTGGTGCAGGGTGTCATTTGGTGCCTGACAGTGGAACAGTGCAGTTGACTCTCAGCTCTGCTGTCCAATGCCACGCAGTGGCTGAGGGTTTGAAGCTGATGGTTGGGTCTCCAGTGCAGCCTGCACACCTGACAGGCAGCTGTTACGCCGAGTGCAGGCAAGCTTGGGGAGTCACAGTCTATGCATAAATGATAGGGGTATCTGTGCAGAAGGTGCAAGGAAGCTGGACCCCCTCCTCCCCCGAAGGCCCCCCCCACCAGATGAATTGCACAGTTCAGCCAGCTTCTTAACTACACTACACTCCTGCTTACTGCCTGCCAAGAGGCTCAAAAAATCCACCTTCACTTTTCAGTCAGAAGAGGCAGAAGTGGATGTGAGAGAAAGAGAGACACAGAGAGAAAGAGAGCCGAAGAGGGCCAGAGACTTGACTCTAAGAGACTCCTATCCTGACAACTCCATGCAGTTCGGAACCAGAGCGACTGCGGCTGAACCAGGGTTCATGGGGACATGGCAAAACGCTGACACCAACCTCTTATTCAGAATGTCCCAACAGGTAAGTTACTTTCTTCTTCATTGTCTTTTTTTTTTTCTTTTGAGAAGCCTTGAATTGTTATGTGCGTTTTTGTTTCTGGTATTTTTCTTTGTAAATTTTTTTTTTAATGTGATCATTCCGTGGGCTCTGTTTTGTCATAACTGTTACTGGAATTGCAGGGTTACTTCATGGTTTCCCCAAGGGCTCCTTAAAAGAAAAGGGGGAAAGGATACTGAAGTAAAAGAAGGCAGAGGCGTTTGTTGCAAAGTTTCACAGTACAGTCTGGGTCTTGCAGGACTTCATGTTTTTCTTTGTATCCTGTTAAGAAAAGAAAAAGCTACCAGCTGCCAAATGCTCCTCTCTGGCTGTAGAGATCACTTGCCCAAAGTGTTGCTGCCTCGGCAGGAGCGGCGCGGTGGCATGGGGTGAGAGGGGGTGCGGGCAGCCCCGACCCGCACGGGGCTGTGGGGCTTACCGGCCGGCGGGAGCCGGTGCCGAGCCTCTCCGTCCCGCGCCCGCGCCCGCGCCTACCTCCCTCGGCAGCCGGGTCCTCCGCGGTCCGGCGCGGCCCGGCAAGCTAGGCGGCGGCTCTGGCTCTGGCGCGGGCGTGTGAGCTGCGTGTGTGCCTCCTGGCTCACTCACAGCGCTGCGGTGCGGGCGCTCGCTCGCGTGCCCGCGCCGCCCGTTCCCTTGCACAATCCCTGGCTCGGAGGCCGGGCGGAGGAAGGGAAGCGACCCAGAAACTTTGGTCTTGGGCCCGGCTCAAGGGAGGAGGGAGGGCCTGGTGCCTCCCTGTGGCCAGCTCCAAGCCTAAGCCCACACAAAGCCGGGGCAACTAAGTCCGAGTCCTAGTCCGAGTGCGAGTCCGCGTCCGCGTCCACGTCGAACCCTCACTGCCCAGCACTGCGACGCCCAGCAGGGTAGTTTCCCTCCCGGAGAAAGACTGCAGATGCGCCTTTAAAACAAACCTCTTCTTTTTGTATGTAAGAGTTCACATTTAATACTTTGAATTGGATTTTTAAAATTGTTCATAACGAAGGAAAGAAGACAATTCTCAAGGCTGTAAACTGCCTCAGTTTAGAAATATATTTGCCAGAGAATAGTGCATGCATCCAGGGTCTCCTAACATTTATCTGGCAAAACAGTTTTACCACACAGTCCTAGATAGGATGAATGCATCTGAGTAAGGTGTATTTTGACATCCTGTAGAGGGACCCTGATTACTGCTGATAGAGTAAACTGGGTTTAAACGCAATCAACATAAACCCAATAAGCAACTCTTTATGCGCAATTTCCCATCCTTTCCAGTGAAAAGTTCATTTCCTGGAAGGGATGCTCCTGGCCACTGCGGAAGGCTTTGGAGAGCTGTTGTCTGGAGCGCCGTCCTGCCTGGGTAGCTCTCCTTGTTGGAACAAACACAAAGTGTGTTTTCATTAACCTCAGAACCAGATAACTTGTGGCACTCTTTAAAAATGAGATGTCACCTTCAGGCTTTTCCTTGAGTTAGTGTAGGTCTTTGTGTGTGTGTGTGTGTGTGTGTGTGTGTGTGTGTGTGTGTATGTTTTGGAAGGGAAGATTGGTTTAGGTCTCCCTCTAGGTAGAAAAGAGTTAATAAAACCAGATAGAGATAATGATCAATTGATAAATGGCTATTGAACCACATAGATGGTGTTAGATTGCTTCTTTGGCACTAACCCATTTCCAAGTAGATTTGAATCTAAGGACATTTTAAGTTGTAGAAAACATTTTACTTTAAAAAAACTATGTAAAGTTATGAATTAGGGAAATAATTTTAAATCATTGAGAGAAACTTATACAACTTAAGCTGTCATGATGTCTTTAATCCAGCTGTTTGAATATACAAAGATTTAATTTGTGTGTGCCTGTGTGAATGTATGTATAATAGAGAGCACCAGTGACTATAAGAAGAAAATAAAAATGTAGGCAAGTCATTTATCCTTAATGATACCATATAAAACTATGTAATATTGATTATTTATTAAACAGTGCTATGATAAAGGGAACAATTACAAATTTAAAAAGTATTGTGGATGAACTGTATTTTTAAATATGGTTTTTTTTTGGTTTTGATGTCGTGATTCCTTCTCCCCCCTTTTTTTCTGTGATAGTTACTAAATACCTACTTTCTATGCATTTTGAAAAACATGTAACAGAGGTTGTGAATTTACATGTGTGTGGCTTATTTTCTTCCTTCAAGGTGACATTTTAGTTTGTATATTGTGTAAACTTTAAATTCAAACTATGTATAAATCTGTGTTTACGTGTTTAATATATTTGATGTCCTTATAGTCAGTAATGTTGATTCAGTGTGCATGTGTATGTGTGTAAGAGAGACACTTCTTGATATTTCTTGAAGCCAACAGTTTTGAGGAATATTAGCTTCAATATCCACATTAAACCAGCTTATGTTAAAGATGAAAATTTGTCAAATTTAATCAAGTATATAGAATTCTGTATATTTCATTTGTAAGGCATAAAGAGATTTTTTAAGTGATTATTTTAATGTCTGAGTAAAAATTTATTCAGCTCATAAAATGAATAAAACCTATTGGGCATATTTTTTATTTTAAAAAGTTTTCTTTAGTAGTATAATTTGGCATATTTTTATTTCCAAAAGTTTTCTTTAATAGTATAAAACTGTAATGATTTTCCTGATCACTTCTTTAAAAATTAGGAAGACTGACTTGCATGGCTACTATAAAATATTTGAAACTTAACTTATAGAAAATTTGGATCAGTACTTAACTGCACAAAAACTTGTGGGAAATGTCTTGTGAATACTGAAAGTTAATAATCTATGTTTGGATCATCTACCGGTTAACTAGGAAATAGGGATATAAAAATGTGTATCTTTTCTGGGACCAAAGTTGGATTTCCTTAAATGTAAATCTTTCATTCTTTCTGATAGTAAAATGACATCACAGTCTAAAGCCAATTTAGATTTGGTGGGATTAGGTATGTTCCCCTAAAGTTTGAGATATGACTATTTGACTCCATTTTCCTGCCTCTCTACGTTTTTTCTCCCACATTATGATTTTCTCAAAAAGAATAATTTCTTTGTGTATAGATGAACACTTGAGAACCTTTAAGGATAGAAGTCTTGACTTTTGTAAAGGGAGTTCTCGAGGCAGTTCGATCAGTGACAGATTGAGAATGACCAGAAACCTTTCACTCTTTTTTTCTCCTCATCTCCTGGAACCTTATTTTCCTCAGTATCGCTTAATGATACTGAGAAGAAAAAGAAGAAGAAGAAGAAAAGCCTGGTTTTGGAACCTTATTTTTGTAACCAGACTTTAAGAGGTCATTTTTCTATTTTTATACATATTTTTATATAGCTGAGAGGATAGCAAATAAAATTCTTGTAGCTATCTCAAGAGATGGGATAGTCTAATCTATTTTTAAATCTTCAGAAAGGAAACCATACAGGTAAATGGCCATTGTCCATATATCACACATTACTAGAGGCATTTACCTTTTATTAATGATGAGGTGTATTTAACCTGTTTCAAATAAAATGTAGATTCCTTAATAAGGTCTCTTTTCATACTCAAATGAAATACTAAGTTAGAATTATAAATGACTCTGTGCATCATTATGTAGTAATTTAGGATTCACCCAATGATGTAACAAAATTAACAACATAATTTCATTGTGAAACTGTGTCTTATTAAAGAACAACCGTCTGACATTCTCTTACAGTTGCTTTATTTAACTTCATGCAAATATTATTAGTAGTGACATTTTTCTATTGTGCATTAGATTCTCTCATTAGCATGATATGTTAGTTATCACCAGAGAAATCATTTCCTAGATAGGTGAGGGGCAAACCAAGAAAGCTAAAAATTAAATTAGCGATTTACATTAATACGGGAGCGTCTGCTCACCAGAGATATGGCAGAGCAAAGCAAACTTTCTTACTAGTATAAAATCTAGCACTTTTCAGGAAAATGATAACTAAAATATAAGAAACATATAACATTGCTTGGATGCTGGCATCTATTTAAGAGTGTGCTCAATATGAATTTTTCTTCCAGCAGTCCTTTGGTTCTTTCCATTATAAAGACAAATACACTCCGGTTCTGTGCGATCTGTATTTTAAAATGAAAATGATGGTTTTGTTTGACTTCATACCTCTCCAAAAAATGATTTGAATATTTATTCACTAACGATTTGAAAGGTACATACACAGTATTTCTTGTAAGTCATATGCATAATTGTATATTGTGGTTTGATTCTTCTTTATAGTTCATACATTTTTATTCTAAACCCTATCCCACTCAAATAGACATCCCTTTTTAACACAGGATGAATATTCTGATTTAATCACAGCTCTGAGTAAAGCAGTTGATAGTTAATGGTCTTTGAAAATGACTTTCATTGCCAGCATTGTCCATTGCTAGGTTTCTTTCTGCACTTTTTCTTTCTTCCTTCTTTTTGCTTCCCTCCCTGCAGTTGGTGTATTTTGGTAAACATATCTTACTAAAAATGGATTAGATTGACCAAACTATGATCCTGATGCTAAAAAGAAATTATATTAGGAAGCATTCAGTTTTAGCCTGTTGATTACTAGGCTCTTACCTCAGATTTCACTCTCTCTCTAATTTTAAGCGGTAACATTTTATTTTGAAGTTTTAACAGTAGACATATTCAAATGTAGTCCTTAATATTCATTCTGGTAATGTAATATTCATGTTTGGGTAATTGTTAAAATATGAATTGTAGCATAGAGACAGGTGTTTGTGTTTTGGCTTATACTTTGTAACATGCAGACATCACTTAACAGGTTAAGCTGTAATGATTGTAATGAGATAGGAAAGTAGTAGGTCATGTACATGTGGTAGTACATGTATGTGTACAAGTTAATGCAAATAAAACATGTACACATATATTCTCAGCTGGGTATGCAGTATATGTTAAAGATCTCTGTACAAATTTCAAGTTTATTTTTAACATGATACATTTAAATGAATTTGAACATAGTAAGTTATCATTTTAAAATTACTTAATTTTCTCACCTTTCTGTCATCAGCAAACAGGTCCATTGTGTTTGTATAATTTGTAAAGCATTTTTTTAAGGTGAATCAAGCAATCACAGTTGGAAACTAAGTCCCTAAAGGTACAGATATCTATAATTGTAGATATTTTTAATAATTATATTTATGAATGTGTCTTCACATTTACTGATAAATCCAATTATTCCTGCATAGCTTTATGAAAATTGATTAATGCAGTTCCAGGACAGATTTGGGCTTCCACAGGAGCATAGCCTCCCACTCCTGTGTCAGGGTTAAGAACCTCCACAAATCCTCCCTAACTAATTAGATGCTGAGTAAGGCATCTCCGAGAAGTTGGGGCAAAAGTGAATGGGTCACAGCCAAGGCAGGATTGCAAGGACTCCAGTGATAGTGAAAGCATTCAAGTTTGCCAGGTCGTTGTGACACAGGGAGCTGATTCCAAAGGAACAGTCCGTTACAGATAGTGAGCTGGCGTCATCCACG